CCCGAGATTGCCTCGTGCGCCTCCTTTCATCGGCGGAGAGACGCAAGTTCCTCGTTGGATTCGCGGGAACTATCGCGAGGTACTTTAGTCTCAACATCGAAGCGTTAACGATCGTTATAGGTTATCGGAGAAAAATGACTATCTACGTTTCTCGCGAGAGAGAGAGAGAGAGAGAGGGAGGGGAGTAAATAAAATTTGTTCGCAGACGGATACGAGGCTTTTTCGGGCTTTCTCAAATGTGCCCTCCGACGCTCTCTAAGTACAGTGAAAGGGATACTCCCCTTGCGCTCTTTCTCTCGCAGAATATATATGCGGTGTCCCGCAATACAAGACAGAGGAACACGTGGAAACCTATGTTCGACGTGTCCGCGAATAAAGACGTCTTCGGTGCGAAGCGCCCCACGTACACCCACGTCCTCCGCGCACTCGCGCGTGTCTCGAGCTCACGAGGAATAACGTTTCGTGTACATTCCCTCGACCCCGTATTTAATCAGATCGTCGTAACACCGTAGTAAATCCTATGATATAATCGAAACGAATCCGTGGTGAATTACCGGATCCGATCACGTTAGACGACGATGTCTCTCGAGTTCAAGCCGTTCCTCGTAGATCCCTCCCACACTTCCACCCGATCTCATTTGGACGCGATTTCGTCTTTATAAAAATAACACGACGACGCTTCGATTGAGTATCACATCGTCGAAGTCATTCCACGCAAGCCGGCTTCCCGGTCAAACTACAAATTGAATTTCGGGCCGATCGCTCTTCTCACCGCGACGCGTGTAACCGACATGTCGAAGAGAATCTCGCGGACGGTATCGAGACACGCGCGATAGATAGAGAAGACGAGGCGAAAGGAGCAGCGAGGTTACCAGATCTATCTCGTCGGTGTACGTGACGAAGCACGAACGTGAGAAGCCGGCGAAGAATAGAGAGAGGCACCGCTAAGGAGAACGACAGTACGGTGCCTCGGAGGTGGAGGAGAGATGGTGCACGAGGACGAGGTGGAGAGGAGTTGACAACGTTGATGAATACAGCTGGCCGCAGCATAAATCGGCCCCTGTGCGCGGCCTATGCCGGAGGAACCCGATGCCAACGCGGAGGCTGCTCTCCGGCGGTTCCACAGTCCGCGGCGTGCATCAAGCTCGCGTTGCACGCGCTTACTTACGTTTTAATTAACATCGCGTCCCACGTGGAACTGCTCGATCCGCACGCGACTAACGAGCCGCTATCGTCGCGATTATCGCCGGCAGCTAGCCCGCGTTCACGGTGAATGCGGTCACCGTCGCGGAAAGTCCGCTGCTTGTCTACCTCGCACGGGGTGGTGGCGATGCCACACTTGACGCGCTAGTTAATTCGTAGCTAAATACTAAGTAACTGCTCAACGATGAAATTTCGGTCGGGAATATAGTCGATGATATTTTTGCATTTAGTAAAGATTTACCAAAGAGTACTGGAGTAACCGTTTCACTCGGGCCGAGTAAATATTACTTGAACGGCGGCACTTTTTCCCCGCTGTAATCTGATGAAATGCGTTTTCATTTTCAACGAATCTTATATCATTGTTAAGGATCACGCGATTGGGTACGGCGGTCTCAATTTCAACGATAATCCGCGACTGTAATGAGATGTCGCATCTCCGAAGAAACGTCAGATCGATAATTCGATAATCCGATAATTCGGCCGCATTATCCCCTCGCTGATCCGGCCGGGCGGGTGAATCGATTATCCCGGATAAACGCGCAGGACACACTTGTTGCCGTGAACTCAGTCGCTCGGGCATCCGAGGCGCGCAATTAACCGCGTCGAATTTTAAGGCTTCGCGAACACGGACGCGCTCCTTCCTCTCCCTCGTTCTCTTCTCGCGCGGAGTTCTCTCCTTTAATCGCCGGCCGCGAATCCTGAGTATATACGCGGCGCCGCGAAACAAGGAAACAAGGAAACGTCGTTTACCTTCCGAATGACATTTTTAAGTGGCAGCGAATGTCGGTGAAGCGCGCGGTAAAGCTATCTTCGGCGACGTTTCGTAGACCGCCGCTCTCGCGTGTAGGTATCCTTGAGGCAAAGGATCAACACCTTCGATCTGCCGGATAACGTCCGCGCGACGACCGCGAGAGGAGGCGTGCGGATGAGAAATCCTGGCCAGTGTAAGTCAACGTTACTGCCTGATAAATCCCGTCGATACCGCGACCTCCAAGTAGGATAAACCCGACGAGAAGGAAGCGGGAAGGAAGGAGAGAGATCGACGCGGAAGGCGTCTTCACCTTCTGCGGTTAGCACGGCGGCGCGTCTATGTTGGTTTAGCCTCTCCTTGTTTTCTATCCACCTCCGCGCTTTCGCTGGAGTTCAAGGATATCTAGGATATTAAGTGGCGCCTAGTTTTCACCTTTGACTCCGTGCGCGCGAGCTCGCTATCTCTCTCTCTCTCTCATTCTCTCGTTCTCCCTCGTTTTCGACCGCGGCAGCGCGCGCCGGTAACCGATTCGATCCTATCAAGGATGCAGTTAATTACACGTCGTGCGCAACAGCCGAGCCACAAAGCCATCAGGTCTCTCGCTTAAAGAGATCAACAAAAGAGCGGCCGGGACCAGACGCGGGCGGTTCCGCGATAGGCTATTCACATTCCTGCCGGCTATTAACCGTTGATGCGAATCACCGTTTTATCCTCGAATTATACAAATCGGGCCGCGTCCTTTGTGCCGGCCGATCGACGACCGCGAGAGAGATGGATAGAGAACGGAGGAGCCGGACGATCGCGGAAAGGTCGTGCTTTGACCCTCGACTCGGCGAATCGCTCAACGTTGTCCCCGTTGCGTGCGTTAAGGAAATACCTCGGTATATTTATTGCTGCCGCCCGCCGGTCCGGCCGTGCGAAAGAAATAGTATATTTAACGCCGGTAGCGAAAAATCCGGCGCGACGTCGTTAAGTGCGTGCCGCGCGTGTCACCTTTTTCGCGCGACGCACTTACGAAAATGTTTTTAGTAGCGCGCCCGCCGCGAGCGGTAACCGCGTCGGATATCGCCGTGGGAACGTCTTCATATTTCTCCGTTGCCGGACGCTCCTCCGACGCGATAATTAATACCTTTATTGCCGCAATAACAAATAGTTTTTATACATCGTAAGAAATCGCCGCTAATTACGGCACTCGAGCATTAGTCTTCCTCGGCCGTATAATGCGCGGTCTTTACACATTACTCGGACATATAGTATTTAGAGATATCACCCGCACGCGCATGATAACGCGGGAAGGAGAAAGAGAGAGAGAGAGAGAGAGAGAGAGAGCGAGAGAGAGAGAGAGAAGGAAGCGGAAGACGAGCGGAGTATGCGCGCGGCGCACAATGTTCGGTAAATCATTGGACGTTTATTGCAGTTAATTAGTCGGCTGACCGGACCCCGTCAGACTGTTTTGCATGCACCATTCGGAAGAGGAGAAGAGCCACACACGTGTGCGCGATGGCGCCGTACAAAGGTTAACGCGCGTCGCCCATCCCGCACGGGCGAAGTACGAGGAACGGGGATGTTATCTCGGACACACTCGTCGGCATTGTCGTCGGAATTTCGAGAATTTCATCGCGCCCCTTCCGGCTATCCGACGGCCATCGGATGGCCGACGATGACGGGGAGAATTTAGTAATTTCGTGCAATGCGTCTAAATCACATGATCCCTCGCGGCTTTATTAGCTGGCATGGAAAGTCCCATTCACTGGATCATTTTACTAAATCAAATTATTTTTTTTCTATAAGAACAAATTAGAAAGAATCATATATATACACACCTGTATCTTCTGTTCTAACAGGAAATTAATACGACCTAAGGACAAGTTCACACAGGTGAGTTTATCTACCCTGGCAACGACATTGTTTCCGCTGTAATTACGAATAATTCGTTAATTTGGCCGAATGAATTTTATCACTGTCGCAACAAATATGCAGCAGCAACGATGATTTCGCTGCAAAATCTTACCTTTCTCCGTGAAGATGTCAAAAGAGACATCGACAACTAATTCTCCCCATTTGCGAGACCGCGCAGCGCTATTAAGCGCGAAAGTCGCGTCGTCGCTCTCCGTGGCGAATGACTGAAGTGGAATGCGACGAAAATCGTCGCGATAGCCCGATGGTGTCGCGATACCGGACTCATCGCGCAAGGTCGATCGTAACAAAACTCATTACTCGACGCCGGTATCAGCCGAGATATTCCGAACGATGTAACACGATTCGCTGTATAGCGCGCGCTTTACGACCTAAATTAACGGACGAAAATATCGGGGAAGCGGAAGGCAGGCGAGCGATAAATTCCTGACGCGATATTCGCCCGTTTCTTTCTCTCAATCCCTCTCTCTCACTCTCTTTTTCATACTGTTTCTCTCTCCGGACGCTCCGGAGGATCCGAAAAACGGCGCACGTTGCCTTCCTTGTTAGGTTGACGTATGGTTTGCGGGCGGACGATTAACCGGCTGTCACTACGCGCTACGCGAATCGCACGAGGCGGCGATCGACGATCGATCGTCGCGAGAAGGGAACAGTAAATGTGAAATACGGCTGGTATTAAGCCAGAGGTTAACACGAGACTCGTAGAGATCCGAAGAAGAAGAAGCTCGCGCCGTGTCATGCACGCGTGCTTCAGCGAGTCGGTTGAATCGCTGGCGGCATCCGCCGCAGTTTAATGGCAGATTCGCTCACTTCGCATGAGCGTAATATATGTTGCCGTGTTGCGCTACGTCACCGAAGCCTCCGCCTTCGTACGATCCGTTCATTTATCTATTCTATTCGCCGGGTCAGTACATAAATGTCGTATCGTGTCTAGACGAAGGAGCTAACGCACGTGTCGTCGCCGTGTGACGATGCTGCAATTGTGTATGTACGTCTTTTCATTGTTGAATTCAATCGCGCGTGAAATTCTTTCTGACGTTTACCGCTCAAATCGTTCGCCGTCTGTTTCGCGGTTTTTCCAAAATTCGTCGATAAAATAAAAGTTATTTGCACAGATATATATACTCACTGTTTGATTATATCCATAGGCGGTACCTTCCTTCCCGGTATAGCGATCTTCTCATATTTGATGCCAGCATTTGTGAACTCCTGCAACAGACACGTCAATGATGCATGAAGAATCGTGTATTGTCATGTAACAAAAGCATTGTTGTCTCATAATAGCATGAGATGCAGACGCATTAATCGAGTAAGAGTATATAATTTGATCGGTCGGGTCTATTATCCTCTTTAATCTGCCCGGAGGACGTTTTAGCATCACTACTTATCACACGCAGAACCGTCAATTATAAATGACAGGAATAATTATTACGTGTCTTTGAACGCAAGCACGTCATTTAGGACAAAGAACTCCATTGCCGAGGTTAGAAGAATATATCCTGATTGAATGTATCAATAAAAAGTTCATTTTATCATTCGTTTTTTCAGATATTCGTATTATTTCGCATCAATATTTAGACATTAATTACAATATTGTGATTTTTCCGGATATTTACAGTAACGAATTCTTTTTCTCTTATTATTCGGAAGTAACGTTGCGTAAATTACCGAGCTTTCTTAAAAGTTCAGTGAGGATATTACCGAGCTTCAGTTTAATATCTGGTAAACTATATACGACATGAATGCTAATGCTTTAAATTTTCAGAAAAAAATTCATCGTACTATTTTCAACCATCTTATTATTTATAATTTATTAAAAAAATTAAGTTGTGTTGGTAATAGGGTCGGCCTCAGTAATGGAGACTTTTACTCTCTCTCGGGAAAAATATCAGGCTTTGATGTGACCGTGAACATAATTGACACGAACGAAAGTGAGATTCACAGCCTCATTCGTATCTCGAAAAGTTCTTGGCACAGGCGTATCCGCCAACAGGCAACGGAGTCCTACATATTCATGAATCTCTCTATTATTTGCTTCTAGTCGGCCTCTCCGTGAACCTCAAGCGCATTACTAACGAATCGAATTTAAACGAGGGGCAGAGAGAGAAATCACTAAATAACATAAAAATTTATCATTTCGAAGAAGGTGCAAGTAACGTCCGTGCAAATTTACGTATAATTAGACGAGAATCGATAGTAAATTGCTGCGACATTTTTAACTATGAAGTATGACAACGCATTTATCGTGGACAGTTAAAAGAAATTTTACTCAACGGGATCGCCAGCGTAATTCTAACCCGTTGCTCATGATATCAACAGTTATCACTCATTTGTCCATCCCCAATGACAGATCACGTCATAACAATCAATCTTTTCGGCTTTTAGTGAGATATTAGAAACTCGATCTTGACTCGATCGCACGTTGTGTCGCTGTTAAAGCTATCTCGAGATTATTTTCTTTTGCTCAACCCTACTCCTGATGTCCGGGAAATTCTTTCACACGGTTCGAGAGAGTACCTGCAGTTCTCAGTCTCGGCAAAAGTCAAGTTACAATGAAAAGATGAAAAGACGGGGATTCGAATTCTTGAAAAACGCCACGAAATCTCAGAAGAAAATTCTATTTGTCGATTCTTTGATATCCTCGAGAGAAATATTTTCCAATCGTATATCTAATCAATGGTATGACAAAAAATGCCGAGATGGTTCGGATATAAAAATTTACGTGATGAAAATTCTCAAAATTAAGAGAACACAACCCCCCCCCCCAACATCGACAACACATCTCCACGAGCCGACGGTGCGCGCGAGATCTTTTGTCTCTGCAAAGATGATCTCGTTTTTCCCGTGACATCGTAACCACGGGAAATTAAAGGACCGGCTAAGAGCTTCATTATGTATGTATAATGAAGTTTTAATTAGGCGTGGGCGACACCGGCAGATCTCCCTGTTAATTATCGTTGGCCCTGCGGCGCTATTGATGATCACGGCGCATGCACAGTGTACATGCACGTGTGTGTGTGTGTGTGTAGTGTATTTTAAAATATATCGCCCTAGTAGGATTCCTCGCTATCCTCGCGTGGCAAATGGCTGTCCAAACGTCGGCGTGGCCGGGACAAAAAGCGGAAGATGGAGCGACCGACTGCACGACTTATTAATATAATTGATCGGTCTTCGGTCCTGACAGCTCTGACCCAGAAAACGCGCGCGCGCGAACACATTCTCGCGCCGACCGGTCGGCCGATCAAGAGTCGTTGGCAGGCAGCTATTCCAAAAATCTAATAATAAGTTCATTAGCCCGCGACCCCTCTACCCTCGCTACAAATTAGTCGGACCGCTCTCGACCGCGCTCTTAAGTACTCAATAAATTCGGAAACTGACCCCGATGCGATATTAGGAGGTCGGGCGCGAGATCGAGAGACGGAGAGTGAAGAAAAAAAAACGCGAGGGCAGGCGAAGCGAAGCTGAAGGAGGGAAGTTATGATAGACGGACGGAGATAACAGGGACGGTCGTCGAACGGCGAGGCTCGAGAGAAAAAGAGAGAGAGGGGG